ACCCATTGGTCTTCTCTTTGATAAAATGAGGAGATGAGAATGCTTTTTTTATTGGGTCTACTATATGAAATTGTTACTATTTAACTATTTCTTTTACCTACAAAAACATTAATTCATATGGTTCAACCTAATATATCTTCCTATACTTTCTCTATTGTGATTTTTCCCTTGCCCCAACTGCTTTAAAATTTTGGTTGAAGTAATCCTAATTAGCAGAACTAATGAATTATTTTCATTATATAATGCCTCTCTTTCAGGAGTTATTTTTGACATTTGCAACATTCGTTTAGCAGTTTTCAGTAATCATTTCAACTTAACTTATGTCTCAACTAATTTCAATGCTTGCTACCAGCTCTTCCATTGTCACTACTTTTCTATTCCTGGATTCTTTGCTTTGAATCATCTCTCAGAGAATCAAACATGTTTCAAATAACTTTTGAAAAAGGGGCCTGTGAATAACTGTAGGCTTTTGAACTCACTCGTATCTTAAAATGTCATTTTTTGCAGTCCTTTTTTTATGATAGGTTGCAGAAAAATTCAAAACTATGTAGAGTTTGCTTTACTCTATTCTGTCCTAATTAGAATTGTAGAAAAGAAATATGAAGTCGTTCTGATTTTCATTTCTTTGAAAGAATACTGTTTTTTCTTTTGCTTCTGAACTGACAATCATTTTTTCTTTATTATTGAAACTCAAAACTTTCACCAGAACATGCATAGATATAAGAAACCTACTATCATCAAATCTGTTCCAGCTCATAGTGACACTTTAGGACAGAGTAGAACTGTCCCATAGGGTTTCCAATGCTATAAATCTCTACAGAAGAAGATTACCTCATCTTTCTCCTATAGAGCAGCTGGTGGGTTTGAACTACCAACCTTTTGGTTAGCAGCCAAATGCTTTAACCACTGTTACACCAGAGCTTCTATGCATAGATATTGGCCTTAAAAATTAATTTGATCTATATGCAATAAGGAGCTCTGGTGGCATAGTGCCTAAGTCACTTAACTGCTAATTAGAATGCTGGCGGTTCAAACCCACCAGCTATTCCTTGGAAGGAAGATTGAGTGTGTTAGGCTGGGTTCTCTAGAGAAGCAAAACCAGTGAAGCTTATATATATATATATAGACAAAGAGAAATTTATCTTAGGAAAATGGCTCACACACTTATAGAAGCTGGCAGGTCCCAATTTCTTGGATCAAACGTCAAGCTGGAGGCTTTTCCTGACTCATGCAGCCACAGGCACTGACAAGCTCAAGGTTGGAAGGTAGTATACTGGCTGTTGACTCCAATGAATGACAAATCCAAGATCTCCAGGCTGAATGCTGGATTGTTCACTCACAG